CAGTGATAACGAAGACATCCTCAGGAAGAAGGCAAGAAGCCGAAGAACAAGACGGAAAACATGAGTTCCCCTGCAACGAGGTAGATCCATTATCAGATGGATATTTTCAACGCAGAAACAAGGTTTATATGTTAGAGTTCACCAAGCTCTTAATCAATCAAGTCAATAATAGTCGTGTTTTCACCAGAAAGCAAATGGATTAAACATTTTCATTATTCTTTTAATTATCATGTAATTTATGTGAAATCCTCTTGTGGAGACGCAACCATGTACTGTTAATTTTTTTTCTTTCAGACACAAATTAAAGGCTATATATATATATATATATATAGTATAACAAGTCTCCCAGTAACTCAGTCCAACTTGTTTGCAATGATCTCTCTAATTATTAGTTTATCTACAATAATCACGAGTAAGGTAAGAATTAAGAACTATTCTTCCATCATTTTCTTTGTTTATTGTTCCTTTTTAATATAAGGTCATCACTGTATCTCCCACCATGAAGATGGATTATAATATTATTGAGTATGCTTGTCCAGCAAAATCACATATTCATCTTAATTCTCTAGCTCCCATCATTCTCATGGTGACAAGAACAAATTAAATGAAAATACTCTAAACTAACTATGACAAGCAAATCTTAGATGGAGGCTTTGAAACAAATCAAAAGGAGTGATAAATAATAATTCCCTCAACATTTATGCATATATAAATCAAGTTTGCTGAGCCCTAGCCCACCAATGGAACACCCTAGCAGCCGGTGGTGACAACCCGAGAGAGAGGAAACCAACACCATTCTCACGGGACGCAGAGGAAACAAAACCCGGCAAAAGATGGCTACAAATCTCCCCGATTCAGAAAAGAAAAAAAATGGTGGCAGCAAAGGGTTTAAGCTGCTAGCTGTGCATACGAAAAGGGAATCTACTAACTAAACCAGACATTTCTTCAGCAAGAAAACTCACCGGCAGCAGACTCTGACTATTTTACTTCCATACCGTACAGATCATTCTCGTTCTCACCCTCCGATGATGGTGGCGGCGGCAACAACCACGTGCATAGCTTCCTCAGCAATGCCACGACTGAGTTGAAGATGATTATCACAAACGACGACGTTAGTTAGAGCTTCAGCTGCTTGATGCACCATCTCTGACAGTCAATTACAGGAATGGATTCAGCAAAAGGAGGGGGAGAGAGAGGGAGAGATAATTTTATATTGAACTCAAATTAATTTTACTTTATCCCACCCTCTCCCATAAATAGGGAGAGATAATTCACCATCTCTATGCAGAGCAGTGAAGCTGGTAAGTAAGAAGAAATGGGCGAGGGAAGCCGAAGCTGGAGCTCGAAACTGATAAGAAGAGAAGAGAGAAGAGAAAAGAGAGAAGATGGAGATTTGAGTGTAAGAAGTAACATTGAATATGATACGCACATACAGAGTCAGGGAGCATTGGACCACAATGACGGACCTACTTCTACCACCCACTCTTCTTTAAAGAATAAAAAATAATAAAAAGAAAAATACTCTTGCCCCTCCTCTTCTCGCAAAAATTGCGGTTGTGGCCCTATATAAAATTTCATTTGTCACTATTTACATTTTAATTTAAAGTCTTAAACACATATTTTTTCACTCAATCATGAGAAAGATTCTATTTGTCATCACTATGCCCCACTCCTTTCCTCCTTTCCTGGTTCCCTAACTCTCGAATCTTCCACGTGGGCTTCCGCAGTTGTCCACTACGTCTCGCCCAATAGTCTGTTCGTTCTGGTCTTCTTCAGCATTTGGGCCTTCCTCTTGGTCCAGTGGATAAAAATTAGGCTTATACATATACACATGCATATATCTGAAAACATGAACATCAATTTTTATAATTTCATTGAGTTTTATTTTTAATTCTTATAATTTTTTTAATATTTTCAATCTCTTATAGTTTGAACAAGATTGAATAATATTTATTTCTCAAATACCTATAGTTTAAATATTTTTAATTTTTATAAGGATTGAAAATACTGAAAAAATTAACGGGACTAAAAACAAAATTTGATAAAATTATAAACACTAATGATTTTGTTTTTTCTATATATATATATATATATAAAGGAAAGAGCAATCTAGAAATGTTTAGGATCCCCAGAACCCCAACCATATGCGCTGGAATTCGCATGCATCGGCTATGAATCAAAAGAAATCCATTTCTATTGTTGCTGGTATTGAAGTATTTTCTTTCAAAAACATTCCTAGCTTGTATTCAAAATCTAGAGGTTTTGTATTTTTTTTTCATTAATATTTTTAGGGGATCTAAAGAAATTGGGCAATGTTCCCTTTTTGTTGTAATGCTAGGGACTCTTAAACTCATTTTTATTGTATTGTTCCCTTTCAACTTTTAAAAACCATACAATTTGGTTCTATTATGAACAAAAGTTAATTTTAATCATTTGTTGACAACAAAATGACAAAAAGGGACTTTGAAATTACACAAATGGATGTAATAAAATTTTCTTGATCCATTTTTGTAATTTTGAGTCATTGTCTATAATTTTTAGGTCCCTCAATGTAACTTTTCTATAATTTTTGACATCCTTTTATATTATTTTCATGTTAGTTACTTGTCAAAGGTGACTTTGTTAACAATAAGGATCATATTGTGCCATTTTCCAAATTTAAAAATAAATATTATATTAAAATTGAGTTTAGGGTCTTAGATGCTTATAGACCCAAGCTTTAAGGGCCAATTTGCCATTTAAGCTTATTTTTAATCCTAATATATATTTAAAGAATTCCTAAAATCTTCCTAAGTCTTGGCTTAACAACACCTCACATCCACTTAAAAAAAGAAAGTTGTGAATTCTAACCTCAAATGATATGGAGGGTTGAGTGTGTTTGTAAGTCCTCAAAAGTAAAAACAAGTGAGGAAGGTGTATGTAAAAAGTAAAAACATTCTCAAAAAAGTAAATATAGTATACTTATATGTTCCATATCTCATGTGTAGATCAAAACACACCGTTTTCGGCATTGTACCCCTTACTTCTCCTATCCAATGTACTCGCTTCAGTCCCATTTATAAAGTATATTCTAAAAGATCTATTTGATCTTATTTATAAGTTAAGATGCAGTTTTTAGGTAATATTTAAAAAGAAATGTGACATTACTTTTTGAATTTTTTATAAAGAGAATGACAGTTAGGTCACAAAACAGTAAATTAATACCAGTTTAGTCCCTGGTAAATTTTTTTTACAAAATAAATTATAAATATTAATTTAAATAGTTACAAATAGAAATTTATGTTACAATCTAAAAGTTAAATTTAATATTTAAATATTTATCTGTAATTGAAACTCCTAGCTTTATAATAATTTGAATTGATATTTTCAACTTACTTTTTTAAAAAAAAAAATTTGTCAAGAACATAACTGGTATTAACTCACTGTTTTGAGACTTAACTGTCATTCTCCTTTTTTTACATAGGAGCATTTTTAAAATTTTATATACTTTTATTTCATTTAATTTTTTTACATTGATATTTGGCAGATTGGTGGGAGTAACTTATAAAAGGCTCAGAAGGGAGTATTGACAAACCTGACACACTTACATCAAATTCATTAAAATATTGTCAAATAATATATTTGCATCAGAATCAATTTTTAATAATTTTTTGAGAATCAATTTTCATTGATCAATTTCATTACTGAAATTATTTCTTAAAGAAAGGGCAATCGCAGACATGTTTGGGATCCCCGGAACGCCAACAACATGTGCTGGAATTTTCATGAATCAGCTTTGAATCACATATCTCGTAACTTGGAGTCACCATCATAAAAAATACTCAAACTCTACCGAAATTATCATTCTCAAGCCTCCGACTTGGTCTTGGATCGGACACCAGTTCCTGCCACGCTACACCCGTGTATTTTGAATTAAATAAAGCAAATACTCTCTCTTCTTATATAAATACTTGTGATATTATTATAAAATACGTGCAAATTGGATAATATTCCTGTTCTGAACTTGCATCCATTAATTGCTCTTCAATCATCCATCCATACTTTTCTCCAACACACTTCTTGAATCACCAACGTTCCATCCAAAGTAAATGCTTCTTTTATTATTATTTTTAACAAATTTTACCCAAAACAAAAAAAATTCCTAAAACTTATTAAAATTCTGTTTAAAAATTTAATAAACTTTTAATTTTGGGCTATTAAATATCTATGTTTTAATAATATACTTTTTCTCACCAATTTTAATAGAAGATAAAAAGAAAAATTTGCAATAAAAAATTAATAATATACATTTTATAATTATGACAAAAATTTTAAGTCCTTTTTTGTAATTTTTTGGGTCATTGTCTATAATTTTTAAGTCCTTAGGCATGATTTTTTTTATCCTTTTTGTAATTTTTAAGATCATTTTTTGTCATTTTTCAATTAACTAACAGTTTAAAGTTTACTTTTGTTAACAACAGGAGTCGGATTGTACCGTTTTCAAAAGTTAAATGAATAATTTAGATAATAAACAAGTTCAAATGCATGGTGTTACTCATAAAGTTTTAAGATAATTTGCTGATTTACCTAAAAATCAATTCAAAAGAAATCTATTTCTATTGTTGCTGATACAATAGTTTTTTTTTTTTTTTTCAAAAATGTTCCTAACTTGTTTTCAAAATGTAGAGGTTTTATATTTTTTTAATTAAACATTATTATGGGATCTAAAGAGATTATGTAATTATTTATGTACATAAATTATGTCAATTCATACATATTAGTTCAAAAGAAATAAACCACAATTTTTTTAAATTTCTCAAACAAAAAATATATTATATTGATATTAACTTGTAAATCCCAAAGAGAGGGATGCAAACAACGATGGTGTGGGATTTGAGTGCGCACAAAACATATTATAATATTACCGTTTAAGATTTAGAAAAATCATAGAACCTTATTTTTGTCATCGATTTCATTCAGTCTCATAAACCGTGAGCAATATGCTTTTCTTCTCTCTCCTCTCATCACTAGTCACGGTAACAAAGACATGCTCGCGAAGAAGCCGAAGGAGGAGCCCCCCCGCCTCTCTCTCTCCCCTTCCTTCGTGGCAGCTTCTTCCTTCTTCTCTACACTTTTCCTCCCCTAACCCTAATTTCCATCTCTTTCATAGCTCCAAAACTCCACCAATTCTCGTTCTCCTCCCTCCGAGAGAAAATCGTTTGCCGTACATGGCGACCGGAGAGATTTTCTTGAGACTAGCTTCGCTACTGATGTCGGGGATTCCAGATCTGTGACCATGTTTGAGCCTGAGGTCCTGTAGCAACGGAGGCTGAGCGTCAAAGGTGCGTGGTTACCGGTCCTCGATTTAGTATCTCCGAAGCCGGGCTTTTGTTTCTGTATATATGTATACAAGAAACTGTGTATCACACGACTAGATAATATAGATCCCTTCAAAACATTTTGTTTAGCTCGCTTTGGGATTCTGTGGCACAGTCTGTATCTGAACTTCCATTCCGTTCCGCCCAAGTTGGTAGGTAGGAATAGTAGTTTTCTGGCCAACAAGATAGAAATGAAGTTAACATCTATTTCCCAAAAAAAAAAAAAATGGTTGACTTGACCAAGAAAGTTGGATGAGAGTACCATTTTAATTCCTTCAAAATCACAATAATAAGCTTCGATTTCTTCAACACAGAGAAGGCGAGAAGCAAAATACAAGTCCGATGGCACTAAACTTGGCGAGGTCTAAACGCAGATGAAACCAGCTGATCAGAAAGCAAAACATGAGTCCCGCCAGAGCAACGAAGCAGATCCACCAGATGGATATATATTTTCAACGCAGAAACAAGGTATATATGTTAGAGTTCACTAAGCTCTAAATCAATCAAGTCAATATTGGTCATGTTTTCACCAGAAAACAAATGGATTAAACATTTTCATTATTCTTTTAATTATCATGTAATTTCTTTGAATTCCTCTTGTAGATCTACACAACCGTGTAATGTTAATTTTTTTTCCTTTCAGACACAAATTAAAGGCTCTGTATATAACAATTCTCCCCAATAACTCCGTCCAACTTGTTCGCAATGATCTCTCTGATTATTAGTTTATATACAACAATCACGAGTAAGGTAAGAATTAAGAACTATTCCTCCCTATTTTTCTTTGTTTTTTTCCCCTTTTTAATATAAGGTCATCACTTGTACTGTATCTCCCACTCTGAAGATGGATTATTGAGTGTGCTTGGCGAGCAAACTCACATATTCATCTGCTTAATTCTCTGACTTCTATCATTTTCATGCTGACAAGAAGGTAAATGAAAATACTCTAATAAGGGAACAACTGCTCCTGGCCAAAAAGTAGAAGGTATACTTTCTTTGACCCAATATAGATTGTTACATATTTTTCGTTTTAGCATGATAAGAAGCTCGTACATTTATCTTGTTATCATCTTTCTTATGGGAAAATTCAATACTACAAATGTAGAAATTACAATACCCTCCAAAAATTTCATAACTTATAACTTACTAGTACAAATTTGACTTTTTATAGGGAGACTTTTTATATAGATTGTTTGGCAAATGATATAGAAAATCAAGATGGTAGCAATTTTTTAATTATCAACTTGAACTGATATAGAAAATCTTTTTTACATTGGTTCCTAAAAAGTAATATTTTATACATTGGTTGCTTAGTAAACTGATGTAAAAAGTGATTAAAATTTTAAAAATTTTAAGAATTTGTAAAAAGTGATTAAAATTTTAAAAATTTTAAGAATTTATTACTTTATACACCGGTTCCTTAAGGAACCAACATAAAAAGTCTTTTAAAAGTTCCCTTGCATTCACTGATCTCCATCATCACTTTCAAGGTCTCACTATTGAACCCTAGATCGTCAATAGATAACTCATCGAAACCCTCATCTACTCTAGCCTCCAACATCTTCAACCTCTCTATTCTAAACTCATCAGCTGTTGCTATTGCAATCTCTGCTCTCCCCTCCATGCCTCCTTGTTTGCCGCTGTTGTCCGTTCACTCCTCTGTCATCAATGCCTCCTCATCGTCGTTAACCCACGGTGCTCCTATTCACTGTGCCCTAAACTTGTTGACCTTCGTTGATGCTCTTCGATATTTTGCTTGTATTCCTCCATTCTTGCCAAGAGAAGAGAGGTAATGTTCTAAGGGTTAAATGCCCTATTTGATTTAGGAGATTTAGAATCGTTGCTCTCTAATTTAGGATGCACGAATCCTTCATATATATCCTTGAATTAATGAATATTCCGCTTTAGAATGGTTGTTCTCTGAATATATATGCGTCATATGTTATCTCACTTGATTTGTTTTATTCCTATTTAGCATGCTGGGTTTGTGTTTCTTTCCCTTTTTCCCAATGGCTTGTGCGTATATTCGCATTCAATTCAAGCTTTAACAACTACAGCTTTGATTGGATGTTTTGGGTGTTGGATCTATCGCCTTTACATTCTTGCCAAAAGAATAAGAAAGGACTACTGGTTTTATTTTGTTGCATTATTGTGTATTTGGTTTGTATTTCATGGAATCTGTGCAGCAATAAGAACTGTAAATTAGAGCTGCTTCGCTGAGAAAAAGGAAAAAAAAGCTAAAGAAGAAGACTAGAACAAAGGACTTGGAATTAGGCATTTTGGTGGTGTCCCTTTTGGAGAAGCCTGCGCTTGGTGGTAGTGTTACATTTCTGTTCTATCACTTAACAAGTATTCATTATTTTGTGTTTGTTTAAGAATCTTGGCCTATTCAGATGTGTATATGTGAATCAAAAAGAGATACGACAGAAAAGCAAGGACTAGGAGTGTTGGGTAAATATACTTGTATCACTTCAAGCTTACTAATATAGCTGTGGTTGATCTTTGAATCACTTTCTGATTTTTTTAATCATGTACTCCAATATATAGCTTTTACAGAAAATGAACTGGCACTGGTACATGATTAATTATGAAAGATGAATATATATACATATATGCTGTGACTTGTTAAGTGGGTCCAAAAGTAAGGAAATATCTCAGTTTAGTTTTTTTTTTGCTTTTTGATATTTCTGATGCTGTTTTAATTTCTAAGAAGGGTGAAATTTAATTTTGATCATTTCACGAATAATATAACATTCATGAACCCTCTCATACGTTTATTGGAATTGAGAAGTATAAATTGTTTACTTTTTAATGTTTGCACACAATGGGTGAAGGTAATTTTTATAGTTTCTCTTTTTTTTAAAAAAAATTTCTGCCCCTCTAAATCCTTTATATTAATATATTATAGCTGCAGTCGTGGGAATCTTGAGCTCAATCATTTCGCATCAGTAAAGCTTTCCACTTGTCATTCTACTTCTCCGTTAGTCCATCTACTATTAATGAATAAGCCAAAAGCTTTCATTCTCCTTTTGGTCATTTTGAAGCTAATATATAGTATTTCAAAATTGCCTTTTCTTTTTATTCCATGCTTCTTTTTAAATGTCCAGATTCAAATTCATTTTTGAAGTGCCTAATAGTATGAAGATGATGTTGTACTGGCGCTTAATAATAGAATGTTCATTTTCTGAAAGTCAGTTAATAATCTTATTGTTCTTTCATTATTGTACTCCAAATAGGAAAGATTGAGGATGAAATAGACAATCCAAGCAATGAAATTATTTATTGGTTTATTGTTCTTCCTCTTCATTATAAATTTATTGTATTCTAAATGTTGAAAATATCATTAAACTTATTGAAATATTAGAATTTATTGTATTTGTTATAGAATTTATTAAAATTTATGTAATGATAATAAAATAGGGTCCTTTTAATGATCATTTTGTTTGTTTTAAAAGATATTTGCACACCAATTCTAGTTGAAACCGATGTTAAAAATAAACTTTTTACATTGGTTCTTATTACAACCAATGTAATTATGGCTTGTACATAAGATGACCGTTTTATTTCTTTTTATGACTTGTACATAAGATGAGAAGGAATAATTATAGCATATTATGAAAATTCATATCAATCGGTCTATTTGAAAAAAAAAATTGTTAAACCAATATCTTGATCAGATTAATAAAATATTTTGTGACTAATTTGATTACAATACAATTTTAACTATTAATATTTTAATTAGTGTCTTGATTGATTTGGTTTTCAATACTTTTAAAGGGAAGGAATGAATGAAATAATTTATCATTATGCATTATTATAAAAACGAATAAAAAGAACAAGATGTTAGGTATCGATGGAATTGAAGACCACAACCCACGGGAAAAACATGTCACACATTAGGAAAAGGACAATTAAAAAAAACAAAAAAAGCAAAGCTCAAGCCTCAAGGAATCCACGCCAGCGCGCCAGGACAATCAAAAGCGGGGATTCAGAATTTTTTTTTTCCCCATTCTTTTTACAATCAAAAGCTCAAGCCTGAAGAAGTATTAAAAAAAAAACAAGAAAAGAAAAGAAAGAAAACCTCAAGCCCCAGGTATATTCTATAAAAGCCTCAAGAACTTGGCCACTGAAAATGATCTCTACCTCATAAAGCTGATAAAGTAGCTTCCTTATCTGACTAACAATTGGCATTAGCGGGGACATGGTGTGCGGTCCTGCATGATGAATTTAATCCCTTCAAGTGAATCTGTATGAACTTTAATCTTGCACAAATTTCGTTCCTCACAAAACTGAAGTCCGGCTTTGATACCTTCAAGTTCTGCTTCAGTAGAGAAACCATTCCCCAGCATCTGTTGGAAACCCAAGATCTTGTCTCCTCGGTGATCTCATGTCTCAATATTCCATCACAAGTTTTATGACCCGAAGCATCCACCGATTCTATAAGTCCCTCGTAACTCGTGCATGTTAAAACATGTTAAGCATCGTCCTCAACCTTTGTTGGAGAATATATATATATATATATATATATGATGAAAATATATAACATAAAGACCGGATGGTCCGACCGTCACCTGCTGAACAAAATGGTCCGGTTCAACCAATTGAACCAATCTGATCTTTGACCCAGGTTGACCTGGATTGAACCGATTGGATTTGAGAGAACCGGCGTTGACCTGAAAACCGGACTCGGGTCAACCCGGGTCAACCCAGTTCAAAGCCAAACAAATTAAGAAAAAAATAAATTTAGGCTGAGTTGTTTAGATTCACAATTTCTCTTCTCTAATCATTAATTCTCTCTTTTCTTCTCTTCTCTAATCTCTACTCTCTCCTTCATGGCCTAAACTCAATCTCTAACTTTTCCTCCAACATCTGCTTCCAACTCTAAAGATCCACCCTTTAGCATTGAGATCGAAAGCTTATGAGTCATGATATGACGGCATGCCTCTAACTCTAACATTTTCCTTTAAGATCATAAGCTTGTACTAACATGTCTCTACCTCTAGCTCCAATAATCCAAGCATCTAGCTTTTGAGGTTGAAATCTCAAGCACCATTGACAAATTAATGTTTTATTTTTATAATTGCGCATATAAATTTTATTTTTTATTTAATTTTTATGTTACCGGTTCGACCGTCGGTCTAACCGGTTGGATCATAAAAACCGTGATCCGTTGCTCTTTTTGATTCTATGTCCGGTCCGGTTTCAAAACATTGGGTCGTACCATTCCTAATTATTGGAGAAAAGCTGTAGCCGTTAATTACGGGACGCTGAGGTATGACAATCGAAGGTGGCTCCCACCCTTTGTTGGTGCCTTCGGGCTGTCTGATTGCGCATTAGACAAATGTCTGATTCCGGCTGTCTGACATGAACATGACACACCAGATTTAAATTCGTATTTCCACTAAATTCATAACAACAGCAATTATTGTATTGGAAAGAAAGAATTAGAGATGATCCTGAGGACAATGAAGACGAATGTTTAACTATGACATTTGGTCTCCCAATATTTAGTTTTAATATATAAAAGAATATGAATATGGATGTGAATCCAATATATCATAGATTTTAATTTAGGAAAAAAATTTGTTTATAAAATATTTATCACCAATAAAAATCTATTTGAATTCTGAGTTGGTAGATTTCCGTTTCTATGTTTCGATATTTCTGCAAAAAAGTGCTTCCACCGAGGCATTCTTGCATGTAGCAGGTAGACAGAAGAAAGAGAGTTCCATGAGTTAGATAAAGCTCCCTCGAAACTGGAGGATGTAGCGCCAGAGGTCCAAGAACCCTTGCCTTGGAAGAAGTGAACCTCGGCACCCCTGAGGAGCCGAGGTTGTATAATGCGGAGGCCAGCCCAGCACACACAAATAGATATTTAATTGCAGACTCTTTCAGCTTCTGTCAACTTCTCACGAAACCTCCACGAAATTCTATCCGCCCCAAAGAACATTTAGTCTCACGGCAAGCATGTGCGGAACTTCTTCACCAGAAATTCTTCTTGTTCTTTTTTCTCTGTAGTAAGTGAGTTGATTAAAAAAAGCTTTTTTTTTTTTTGCCCCCATTTAGTGAGTTTAGGAGGTCTGTCTCCAGTTCTTTGACATACCGCACCCCCTCAACTAGGGTCTAGGGGTAA